ATGGGTGGGGGCAGGGGAGGGGCGCCACCGGGACATCCCAGGGGTGAGGGGGCAGGAAAGAAGAGCCCGCAGGAGACAACCGCAGTGCACACGGCCCGGTCTGACCCACACGGGGGCGGCCCCCTCGCGGAAGCCTCTGCGGTGGGGACACCCTGTGTCTTCTCCTGCCCCAGGGCTCCCTTGTGGCCTGCTCTGCGTGGTCCCCTGGGATGCGTCTACCCCTCCCGGGCCGAGGTTCCTTCCCCTGCGATTCTGACTCCGCTGCCGTGCCGGCCTCTCCTGCTGAGCCTGAGCCCTGGGTGGGGCAGGAGTGGGCGGCACGCCGAGTTCGTGCCCACCCCCCACCACAGGGCATCAGAAATCGGCCAGCGGGTGCTGTAGGAGTCTGGCAAAGCCAGGGTCACTGCTGGCTCGGAGAGGGGCAGGGCAAAGCCAGGGGACAGGAAGGCCGTGTTCCCAGGCCCACGACATGGCCGGCCCCGTGGGGCTCAGAGCCCCGACCCAGGGTGTCCCTGGGGAATGGGCCAGTGCTCCCCCCATCTGTGGACCACAGCCATGGCTGGCCATCACCAGGACTAGGTGCCCCGTGGGAGGGCCGAAGGGGGACCCTGTGAGAGACAGGACATGGGGACCTCGGTCTGGCAGCGAGTAGGAAACGGGCCTACGGGGGACGGGGCCTGGCTCCCACCTCCCGCAGCCCTGCCGGGGGTTCGCCGGGCCTTGGCCAACCCGGGACCTGCCCATCCCATTTCCAAGGCTGTACCTTGAGCATGGCCTGCTGGTCCTCGCTGTACTCCACCTGGGCGGTGGACAGGTTGAGCACGAACCTCTCCACAGAGTCCTTGTCACTGTTGTACATGTAGGCATACGGCCGCCGTACCACCACGAAGCGCTTGGCCCAGCCGGCCGTGTGTGGCTCCAGGAAGTGCAGGTAGCCCTTCTTGGAGACGATGGGGCTGCAGGAGGGACGCCTGCTGGCTCATGTGCTCCTGGCGGTCAGTGGGGGTCTCACGGTGGGGCCCACCACCCTCCACCAGGCCCGTGGCGGTACCGGCCGGGGCTCAGGGGCTATGGGGTACCCGGTAGAACCCCAACCTGGGAGATCGGAGACCAGAACCACCAACCTATTTCTGGGCCTCAGTTTCTCCAGCTGTGAGAAGGAGAAACTTTAAAAAAAAAGCTGCAGCCGCCTTCGCTGTCACATGGGGTTCCGTGACCACAACCTGTGGAGGGTGCGTTCTTGGGCCACAAGGGCCAGGCAGGCATCTGGCACAGAGGCCAAACTGATAACTCGCAGATGCATTAAACCATCTTTCTGCAGAGGTGCCCGCGAGGTCCCCGGCCCCCTCCTGCCCTTTTGCTGTCTGCTCCTTCTCTGCTCCTGCCCCAGGTCAGGGGTGGCCTGCCTGCCTGCCTCCCTAGTGTGGTGCTGTCCCCGGGCCTGGGTCAGGGACAGAGCTGGCCGGGTGGTTTTAGAAGAGCCCCGGTTTGGGGCAGGGCACCCCCCACACACCTGACCCGGATCTCCTGGATGTCAGGAACCAGCAGGCGTGGGGGCTCTTTGTCCGCCTCCACGGCCCGAGCAGGGGATGGAAGCTTCTTGGAATCTGCCTCGGGCACAGGCTCAGGTTCTGGGCTGGCCGGCCGGGAGCAGGGCTGCGGGGTCCTGGGGAAGCAAAGCGAAGCCTCTGCACCCCTGCAGGGAGAGTCCCCGCTGGGCCGGGGAGCCACGTGGGACCGGGCTTCCTCCCACACCCAGCCGGCCCCATGGGCACCTCCCAGGGTCTGCCCGGCCGCAGCCACAGCTGGAGCTCGGGGAGGGTCCGGCGTGGCCGCAAGACCCTACCGCCCTTCTCCTGGGACTTTCCGCTTGCCGCCCCTGTGAAAGCGGCCCCCTGTCTCTTCAGCTCCCCAGCTGAGCACAGGCCCGTCTCAGATGAGGCCCAGAGGGCGGGATGCCTTTTTATTTTAAGAAGGAAACGTGGATGCCTTGAGGGATTTACAGTCTAAGGGACCGGGCGTTAAGAGGTGCTGGGAAAGCTGAGCAGACACCAGCCATCAGCACGACGGCAGGCCCGTGGGTCTCCAAGCTACTTCGTTGCTGGTTTTCCTACTGACTGTTGTACAAGCACTTGCCCCCGAAAAGGGTTTGGCTTTTGTGCCGGTTTGACCCGTTCCCGGTTTTCGTCCCCGGTGCAGTTTAAATCTACCCTTCAGCAGAAACCGGCCTCGGAAAAGTAACACAACCGGAGATGGGTGGGGGCCGCGCCAGCCAGGGCAGGGCGTGGGGCAGATCCCTTCCAGCTGGCCCTGCCCCAGATGCCTGTGGCCGTCCCGGCCACGCGCGCGCCCCGCTCCCTGCACTGTGCGCCTGAGTCACGGCCGAGGTCATCGGTCGGTTCTTGGCACCGGAAGCTGCTCCCGGAGCCCGGAGCTCACTCACCTCAGATCGGCTGCTCCGTACCGCCCCTCCACCAGAGAGGGGCAGGTGGAGGAGGGTGTGAGCGTGGCTGCCCCCAGAGGGGACATGGATGGGTCCCGAAGCAGGGTGACAGACATCTCGGAGAGCTGTGGAGGACAGTGGGCCTTTGGCGGGGGGCTTGCAGAGTGGGGACACCCTTGCAGTGGCTAGTTCCTATGCCTCTGCTCACCTTTTACCTCCATTTGGGGCACCCCCATTCCAACCGCAGGCCAGACCCTCTTCCCAGCCCCCCTCGACCTGCCCCTAGGCCCTACACGCCCCTACACACGTCAAAGGTGACGACCAGCGACGGGCCGCAGACTGAGCAGAGACTGCGCGCGGCAGGTCCCGAATCAAGGGGGGTGGGGCAGCACAGGGACCACACTAGCTCTGGGGACCAGGATCCGTCCCCTGGTAGGGGAAGGATGGCCACAGGGACGGGGCCTGACCAGCCCAGGACAGAGGCAGCTGGGTGAGGGCCAGGCCGGGAGGCCCCTGTGCTCCACAGACCCCAGGCACAGGGAGACGGGGCCCTTGGCTATGACAGTATGTTTCTAAGAAAACCCTTATTTCCTTCTCTGGATACGACTGTGAGTTCTTCTTGGTGACAACAGCCCCGTGATGACCTGGGGGTGGCCCCTCTCTGCCCACCTTGCTCTCGCTGGCGCTGACGCACACGTGGCTGTGCGTGTACTCTCGGTTGAACGTGTGCGTGAGGAGGCGTAAGCACTGTTAGAGGAACAAATGCCCGGAGTCAGGAGGCCCCCGGACCCGGCTCCGCCCCAGGCACGGCCCCTGACGTGGGTGACTGTCCGGGGGCCCAGGCACCTCCACCCTCCGAGGTGACGGCTGAGCCGGGGAAGCCTCTCAGAGCAGGCTGGGGGCCGAGGGCAAAGACGGGGGGTGGGCAGCGCTGCCCACAGTCTAAGAGGCCTTCCCCGCGGCCCGTCAAGCGGCAGAAAGAGCCAGCTCCGGGCAGAGGGGGTAAGCTCCCCGTCAGCATAGGTATTCAAGGAAGCAGGTCACTGCTCGGGGGAGGAAACTGTAAAAGGCTGACAAATTCCAGTGTGGGTGGGTGAGGGGTAGGCGAGGGGACTCCCGGGACCCCTCGTTCTCCCCGCTCCTGCTCTGACGGGACAGGGCTGAGTCACCCCCAGAGGGGCCGGGGTCACAGCAGCGCTGCCTGAGCCACCTTGACGGCCAGCTCCCGCTGTCTCTCGTTGGGAGCCTCCAGGGGGGACGGCCGGCCCTCGGCCGAGAGTGGGGACGAGGGGCCGGACGGGCCGTGGGAGCCGGAGTCCTCGCTGGAGGCGGGGGACGGCGCCTCGGGGCCGGGCCGCTGCGTGGTCTCCAGCTTCTCCCGCAGCAGCAGGTAGTGCCTGGTCTTCTCCACCTGCACGAGAGCCGGAGCGCAGCTCAGCCCCGGGGGCGCCCGGACCCACGAGCGCCCGCCGTTTCCCTGGGGCACTGCCGGCACTCGGCCTTGAGCCCCAGCCCCGCAGCCGCCCTTCGAAGCAGCCAGCGAGCTGCCCTCCCCCCGCAGGTGTGCGGCTGCCCCGGGGTCGGTGGGGGGTGGAACTGATGGACACTCGAGCCCCCCACCCCCCCATGCACCCGCAGTCCGCGCCCGATGAGCACAAGCGCACCTCCTGCAGGAGACTCAGCTTCTCCAGCTCCCACTGGTGGTCCAGGATGAGGCTGTCGCTCCGGGGCCTCCAGCCCGCCAGGTTCTCCTCGCCGCGGACGTAGGCCACAGACGTATCGAGCACACGCCTCCGCCGCCGCTGCATCCCTGGAAAGGGGGTGACGGTCTGGCCACATCCGCGCCCTGGCGCCAGGCCTTGGGCCCCCCGTGGGGACTTGTCCACGGAGGGAGGCCGGCCCCCCGGGAAAGCCTCAGCCACAGGAAGTCATCCAGCACGGCGGCCGCTGGGCTCGCCCCCCGCGCTGCCTCTCCCCTCACGGTCCTCCGGCCTCTCAGAACAACTCCCGAAGTGCAAAGGTGAGCACGTGAGTCTCGAAAGTGAGGGCCCCCCAAAACGGCAGCTTAGCTGAGGGACCCCGGGGAACCCTGGATCCTAACCAAGTACACCCCCCCCGCCCCCACCAGGCGCCTACCTGGGCTGCCGGCATCGGCCACATGGCACAGGCTGAGCTCGTACACGCCTGTCACGCGGTTGCTGCGGGGAGAGGGCAGGCGGGTGGGCACCGGGCATGGCCAGGGCCGATCAAATGTGAAGCTGGCACCGGTCCTGCTGCGAGCCCATGCCTGGTGGCCCTGCGCGGGGCCGCGGGGGCCCTGAGCTGCAGCCACGTGTGGGCGGTCCCCTTCCCAGACCCCTCCGGGCCCCCTCTTGCCAGGGACCACGATTTCGCCAAGTGCGCGCCACGAACAGGGGGGAGCCAGGCTCGCAGGCGGAATCCCGCGCTCACTAGGTGACCCTGCGTGGCCGGGTTACAGCCAGCCCAAGGCCACTAAGTCCTGAGCCCCAGACTCTGTCCTCCTGGCTGTGCCCAGGTGTCCCGCACACTGGGGTCCACGAGACAGTGTGGGGAGCCTCACCGAAGGTGAGCACAGGTGGCCCGGTGGTCTCTCCTCACTGCCGTGACACTCTCGTTCACCACCCCTCCCCGCCCCAGGAATGCAGGGACAGGTCAGAGAGCAAGAAGGGACGGCTGGGCCTGGGCCTGACACTCTCCTCCCTCGGGCACTGCCAGCCTCCAATGGCAAGAGGCCCTGTCCAGAATGCCCTCTCTCCAGTCGCAGCCCCCAGGCCTGATGGCACGGCCCTGAGGTCCTACGGGGAAGCGGGCCCAGGACCACCCACAGGAGGGCCGAAGGGCAAACCCCCCAGGCCTTCTCCTGCATGCCTGTGGGCAGACTCGGGCTCTCTCATGCCCCTCAATGTGCCATCTGTGTCCCATGGCCTCCAGTGACCCCAATAGCAGGGGCAGGTGAGAGGCTCTGAATGCAGGGGACTGGCTGGGACAGCGGCCAGTCTGCCTTCTGGTCTGGGCCCGCCTGAAGCCGGCGTGTCACTCGAGCCTCTGCCAGACACGCCAGCCGCTCCCCGTGCAGAGTCCGGTCTGTCCTCACTGGGACCAGAGTGCCGGACAGCAGACCCCCGGGCCACCCCCCGAGGGCAGGCTCACCTCTCCGAGGCCCGCAGGCTCCCGCTGCCAAACAGGTTGCGGATGGAGCGCGAGGCGGGCAGCTTGGCATCCCGAGAGTAGAAGACCATGCAGAAGTCCTTGGTGATGACGGCTGGCTGGGTGCAGTTCTCCATCTGCAGTGGGGGGCAGGGGGGGCTCAGGCGCAGGAACGCCCCGCGGCACCCGGGCCCCAGGCCCCCTTCTAACCTCCCGGGGCGCACAAGCCACTGACCGACAGCCCCAGACCTTCCTGGGTCTCTGCCCTGGCCCCCCACCCAGATGCGAGCTCCCTGCACCACCCCCCCCAAGGAGACTTCCAGGAGAGCGCCAGGGCCCCGCCTCCCCGGGCCGCAGAGGGCTGGCGTCGGTGCCGGGGACCCCGAAGGTCCCAGACACAGGCCTCACCCTGTCAGGCCCGCGCCACCTTGCCACGGGATGGGGCAACACGCTCCCCAAAACACCTGTGAAGATCAGACCAGATCCTGGCTTCCCAGCCACATTCTAACTCTAGATGACTTCCCGGGGCCCTGACAGGCCGTTTCTCACACCGCTGCTTCTCTTGTTTTCCTGCAGCTCAACAGCAGGTGCCGGCAGGGCCGCTGTGGGCCAGGACTCATGGCGACAGGGCCCAGCCAGTGCTTCCCCAGCAAACCGCCACCCCGAGAGGCAGTCGGGACGCTCCCTTCCCACAGCCGGAGCAATCGGGCTGGGAGGGGAGGTGGAGTGCCACCGTGCCACCAGCTGCCACCCTCCGGGCTGCTAGGTCCCCGCTGTTGCACCCAGCCGGCAACGCCCATGCTCCGGGCCACCCGCTGTGCTTGGCAGGGAAGGCACAGCGCAAGACCCTGGGGACGGGGTTGGGCAGGCTCTTGGTTCAGGCTGCCCGGGACATGGACGCAGGCCTCCCGCAACCCCGAGGTCAAAGCCACACTGAACATAGTGCTGGGAGGGGGAATGGCGCCATTAGAAGTACGTGGATTGAATAAGAACTTGACAAGTCCTCTGTCCGGGGCTACCCAGGGCCCCCACTGCCCCTTGGCAAGCATCTCAGACTTGGGGGGGGCAGCGATTTGGGGGTGCACTCTTGGCACAGATTTCTCACCTCAATGTAAGCCGAGAGGGTCATGTAGATTTTCTCTCGGTACGGGGTGACCCGGTTCAGCAGCAGAGAGTTGTGCATGGAGCTGTCCCACGCGGCCTCAAACTGGTAAAAGGTTCTGGAAGGAAGCAGAGACAAGGTCAAATGTGGCAGCACACAGGCCGCGCTTGTGGGCTGGGGACATGCAGACGGACAGACACAGACAGAGAGACCTATGGGCCACCGGTCAGGAAGCCCGGGCGGCAGGTCGAGGAGAACAGTAGGTTCCTCCTTACTGGGGACCGGGCTGGGTGGGGGACTCCCCTGCGGACGGACAGATGGACGGACGGACGGGGCGGCCGCAGCGCAGACGCTGAGGCGGGGGCAGAGGGGGCAGGGAAGGGAGCGCAGGAGGCAAGCGGGTTGGGACACAGCAACAAAGGGAAAGAGGGAGGGAGAGGAGGGGAGGTGGGGGCAGACAGGGGTGAGAGACGCGGAGAGGGCAGAAGGGGGCCGCCCCTTCCTGCCCCGTCTGAGTAAGGAGGTCCCGACCTGCCCAGCTTTGCCAAAACCTTGTGTGGCCCATCTCCTCCCTTGGGGGAGGACACTTGGAGTGGAAGCGGGGTGGCCCGGGGCAGATGGCCTCGCCCCCGCCCCCCGCGGCCAGGCTCCTCTCGATTTAGCACACAGCAGGTGGTGGGCCCTGCTCCCTGTCCCCATCTCGAACCCAGAAAGATTGTGAGCAGAGCTGGAGGCCCGTGGCCCCTCTGAGGGCAGCCTAAGCCGCCCCTGGGAGGCGGGACATCACACTCTTCAGCGGCCTCCGCTCCGGGGCAGGGTTTCCTATTATAGGATAGCTCCTGTTTTCAACCACCCTGCAGAGCTCCTAAACTCTTGTCCGAGGCCGGGTGGGCATTCGAGGATCCTATCTGAGGTGGTAAATTTGCCTCAGTCCGCAGTGTGGCCACTCAGCCCCCAGCCTTGCCCCGTTTCCATCCAAGCATCCTCAAAGACACAGACCGCGGGCAGCGGCTCATGCCCTGGCCCCACCGGGCCCCCCGCCCCCCGCCCCACGAGGAGCCGGCCCGGCCCAGGGGCGCGGAGGGCGGCCAGGAGGAGCAAGGCCACGCCGGGGCGCGGACGGGCTTCCCGTGACACGCTCAGGGGCGCGGGGCGAAGCTGTGGGACGGGGCAGGGCCGCTGTCACACACACGTCACCGAGGACAAAGACCCAGGGGAAGAGACGTGAGGACAGCGGGGTGACCGGAGAACTGGCAGAGAGCGCAGGGGAGACGTCGCAGGAGAAAGGGGACTGAAAAGCGGAAGAGGGACGGACCAAGCCAGCGCGGAAGAGAAAAGTGAGCTGTACCTAGTGTCATTTCCGAACGAAACGCTAAAGGTGGAGGCAGCCAGGACACACACGTACACACAGAAGAGATGGACAAGTCAGAACGAGCACGGTCACACGGCCGGGTACAAGCTAACCGACAGTGAGCGGGTGTGTGTGCTGTCCCGCCGGCCGCCGAAGCGCCTCACGGGGCGGCGGGCGGGGCCCTCTCTGACCCCGGCCCCCCGCGTCTGCGCTGAGAGCTTTGGGTCCACCCCAGCAGGACCAGGCGGGTACCCGTGGACCCGTGACCAAGACCTAAAGGGACACCCTCGGTCCCGGGGGCCCCCAGACGCCGCAGGCCCGCAGGCACGGCCGGTGGTCCACGGCAGCCTGGCCCAAACGCCCTCCGGACCCCCGGCCTCCGAATGCTCCCGCACGGCCACTAGACCCCGGGCCTTCGCCAGACATCTCTGTACCCTGCTTCCTGGACGGACCACCGGCCGGCACTGGGCCCCATGGAGACGTGCTGCGGGCTGAACGAGCCAGTACAAGGTGCCGAGGGCGGGGCCCGGGGGTCATCATCCTTAGTCCTCGCCTCCTAGAGGCCCCGATGACACACCGGGGACGGCTAGCCTGGGGCCCCCACCCAAGTGGGCCAGCCAGCCCCAAATCCTCCAGCTTGGCCCACGGCCTCAGCTCGGTGCGGTCCCCTCTGTCCACCTGCCTCAAAAGTCACTAAAGAACACCGCCGGCTTCCGTTCCACTGCAAGCGCTCCGGCCGTGTGGACCCAGCCTGCCCCCACCGCTGGCCCGAGATCGGGGACCCGCACGGGGACAGCGTGCACTCTCTGTGTGCCCCTCCCAGGGCAGGCTCCTACTCGGGCATCAGGAGCTGGGTCCCCGCCTCGTCCGGAGCCCCTCAGCCTCGGGCGGGACACTCCAGAGGAGCCAGAGCCAGCCCGGTCTGGCCAGCCAGAGACCCAGGGCTCAGCCAGGGGCCTCGCCCCAGGACCAGGTGGGCCATCCCAGAACCGGCTGGAGCCGCATGGAGAGACGGCACACCTCCAACAAGGCTTACCGAGGCCCCTTGAAGGTGCTCTTGGCCGGGAGGCCCTCCGTCAGGCTTTCGCCCTGATGAGACTCCAGTGACCAAGAATCTCTCCGAAAACCTGAACCTGTGGGTCTCACGTATGAGGTGATGGGGGGTGGGGACCCTCTTGGGCCCACGTCCACAGCCTAGGATGGCACCTTTCACCACACCGTTCCCCAGGTGCCAAGATGGCCAGGGTCTGACCTGGCATAGCCAAGCTGCTGCCCATAGCTGGCTCCAAACCACTGGTCAGCCCCCAGCCAGCCGTGGGTGCCAGACCCCAGAGCCCCAGGCAGGAAGGGTCCCCAACAACACTCCCGAGCCCCTGGAGCCTCTGCAGAGGGAGGTCCCGCCCAGATGACGGCAGGTGTGCTTGGGGTGCAGAGGGCGGTGGCCCCCCCGATGTGGGACCTAGACAGCCACGTAGGACACCAAGCCTGCAGGACGCAGCATGGGAACCGCTGCTTGGTGCCCCCCTGATCAGGAAGCAGGAAACTAAGACCCAGAGAGCCAGAGAGGGAGCCGTAGTGAGCCAGGATGCCATGGGAGGCCGTGGGTACCATACCGGACCCCCACTTGTGAACAGGCACAGGACTCTGGAGAGCTCTCTGGGCATCAGGTCACCCCCAGAAGAGAGCCCCATTCCCCACAGCACCCCTCACTCTGCCCCACCCGACACCCAGCCAGTCCCTCAGATACAACTCCTGGGGGAACCGTGCAGCCCGGACGTGGGGTCCCCGGACCCGAAGCGGCAGCACCACTCGGACGCTGCGCTGTTAGCAGTGCGGATTCTCAGGCCCCACCCCCAACCCACTGACCCACCGAGGCCGAAACACTGGGATGCGGCCACCTCGTGAGTGGAGCCCCTGAGCCCACTCCGGCGCCTCCCCTTGGGCTTGGCCCACCCCACCAGCCCGCGGGCCCTCGGGATCCAGCCCATTTGGGGAAACAGGCCAGAGCACGTGTCCCTCCTCCAGTGAGGTCCCACCCACGGCCCCAGTCCTCAGCCCTTCTCCGGGCCACCCTTGTGTAGAAAGAGCAGCGGGCAGGGCAAGGCTTGGCCCACGGCAGAGCCCTAGGGGTTCCCACGGGGCCCTCCCTCTGGAAGGAAAATGCTGCCCTGCACAGATCCTTCCGCAGCCGACTGCGGGGCTCAGGATCAAGGCGCCCCCTCCTCTGAGACATCCCTGGTCCAGTCCAGCAGCCTCCAGCCCTGTCTCAACACAGAGCAGCTCAAGCCGGGTGGGGTGGGGTCCCAGGCTGGGAGGTCGCTCGGCCGGCTCTCCTCTAGCCACGCATGAGAGTGGGGCCGCAGGGGCCCAGAAACGGGACCACCCCCAATTGAGTGCCGGGACGTGGAGCTTGATGCTCAAACAAGGGAGGACCCACGTGGGGAGAACCAAAAACTCACTTAAAAAGTTTGTCGACAGAGAAAACGTCATACGCTCTACAATGTCTTGTCCGTGTCGACTCTTGCTCAGAAAGTTTCAGCGGCTACACCGGCCAGGACAGGGGCAGGTGTCTCATCTCCCCTCGGATTGTGACACGGGAGCCCCCACGCCTGCCCTGCCCTGCCTAATCCAACGGGCTGTGCGCCCGCGCACGACCCTGCGGGGCTCAGGTGGGGCCGGACTGCCAGGGTAGGGTAATCGGGAGGTCGGGGCTCCCAGCACACAGGCCTGGGCATTCCCGATGGGACTCTCGCGTGCCGGCTGCACGTGGCCTATTTAGACATCTAGACAACCGTGTTGTGACTTGCACCTGGCGCTTGTGACAAGTGTCTCAGCTGTGGCAGGTCAGTGGGCGGGCCAGGTGGGCATCCTGACGTGAACGGATTTGTTGAGAATCTGAAAATTAAACCCATGCTCAAAGTTTCAACAAGAAACTCATAACGCTCTAGGAAGTCCGTTTCTAGAAGAGAATTACTCTCAAGAGTGGCCCTGGGGAAGGCGAACCGACAGGCAGACTTCCAGGACGGAGCCCCCCGGACTGCAGCCGGGACAGCCCTCGTGTCCGGTGAGGAGCGTGACCCCAGCACGGTCACACAGCTAGGAGCAGGGCAACGGGCTTGAACCCCAGCCTTGGGGATTCTGCTGCACCTGACGCGAC